AAAAAATTATCACAATGCAATTCAATATCAATACCAATCCCCGACAACGACGCCATTTTGTTGGAGCGGTAAAGCGGCAAGCAAAAATATTATTTTCGGAAGAATTTTTTCCGGGATTTATGTCATCTCCATAGGGATCAGTGTGAGGGAAAGAATGTCGTTCGACAATCTCTACGTCTCTAAGCTTGGGTTTAAATGGGTTGGGATAAAAATGCAAAAAGGAAAAAAAAAATAAAACAAGAAAATAAATGCATTCTTAAGAAATGAGAAAACTCGTCAGGAGTTGTATTTCGTTCTACTCATCATGCACTAAAAAATATATGGATCAAATGCAGGCAACCTAAATCGCTCGTCAATATCATCACGTATCGCTCATAACAGAGGTTATGTCTAACGCAAAGTCGAGAGATCAACCATATCGTCTCGATCGGTGATGCCTCATGCAACTCGACAATACGGAGCATTAAGAATCGATACCCACATGAATATTAGTCCTAAATTTATGTCTAGAGTTTAGAATCTAACAGATGTTCATCTTAGATCGAGTTCGAACCGTATATGTCTTTAGCAATCCAAACCTATTAAGTAAAAAATCAAGATAATCATCGATAAAGAGTTGTAAAAGAGATTTTATACAAAGATACATAAATATACATACAATCAAGATAAACTTACATACAAAACCCCAACGAATAAAAAATACATAGAGAGGAAGGAAGAAGAACACAAATCTCACAGTCTGTCAACTCCAATTGAAGTGGATTCGACTCCGAATCGTCAAGATGCACCCTCCAATGTTGTTTCTAAGCTATATCTACTCAAGAATATTTTTGATGAAGTTAGGGTAAAAAGTTCCCCAACAACATAACCTAAAAAATGCTGAAAATGACTTAAATAGGTAAAAATGGGTTTCCGTGTTCGCCTAGCGAAGTCCCGTTCGCACATCGAACTTATGCATCTTTCGCTACTGTCAAAACAGTATTTTTCAAGAAATCAAGGCTCTAGAATATAATGAGACATGGGAACTAACTCATTTAGCGCAAGGAAGAAATGACCAAAATGACCACACATGGATGCTTTTTAATAGTTATAGTGATGAAAGAATGGAAATTACATCAAATGGATGTTAGCAATGCCTTCTTACATGGAGAATTGACTGGAGAAGTATATATGAGTCCTCCACAAGGATATAAAGTTATAAAAAGAAAATTTGGTATGCAAATTAAAAAAAGTCATTTTATGGCTTGAAACAAGTGCTAGAAATTGGTATAGTAATATATCTCAATCATTGATAGAATATGGTTTTCAGGACAACCAGTCTGATCATAGTCTATTTACTTATTCACATGGATTAATTTTTATTATTGTTTTGATCTATCTTGATGACTATCATTACTAAAATACACCTTATACATAATAGGTATTCATTTGTCAAAGAAAATACACCTTATACATTCTACAAGAATGTGGAATGCTTGATTGTAAGTCTTCTTTGTTTTCAATGGAACAAAATCATAAACTTGCTTTAGCCAAGAGATATCCACTCTTAGAACCGTCAAGGTATAGGAGATTAGTTTGATGCCTGATTTACTTAACTATCACTAGGCCTGAATTTACCTACTCGGTTCATATTACAAGTCAATTCATGCAAACTCCACTCTAAGACCATTGGGATGATATTATGTGAGTCTTATGATATCTTAAATCTTCTATTGAACAAGGTATCATTCTTCATCAACATAATAATCTACAACTAGTTAACTATTGTGACTCGGATTGGGCATCATGTCCCATTACTAGAAATACCATATCAGATTATCTAATGAAACTTGGCAATGCTTCAATATCCTTGAAAAACAAATAAACAAGCCATGGTCTCTTGATCATCAAGTGAGGCTGAATATCATGCAATGACACATGTTATAACACCCTAAACCCCAAATCAAAGAATAATGCGAAAATAAAACAATTCCACACATAGGGTGTAACTCAAAACACAACATAAATCTACTTCGTAACACGGGTTATATGAAACATGCATCAATTAAACATTTGTCATCTCATGCTCTCCTTTACATAGGCTCATCGCAGCAGAATAATCAATTAAAATAATTCAACAACCAAATAAGTCTCATAACATTAACATGGTTATGGCATTTACCTTCAACAACATCGTAAATAATAACAATTAGTAAAAACAAAAATTCTCCCTATTAATGTTATAGACCAGAGCAACTGAATCTAAAATATTGTGTAAAACAGAAAAGAAAGAAGAACAACTTTAACGTCATCCTTCAGCTTCTAAGCAGCTACTCATTTACCTACTCGTATGTACCCTAAGAATGAGCACAAAACCACACATACAACAAAGGGATGAGAGTACGCTCATAATAAATAATGGTGCAAAAGTGTGCAAGGGTATGCTAAGCAAACATTAATAGTTTTTCAACCCAATTCATTCGTATACATTCACCAAAGTATTAACAAACACCAAAATCAATATAATCATTCAATACATATGGAGATAATGAATGTAAATGTATTCATCACTACGACTCAACAATGCATGTGGTACCATTATGGACAACACAGGTCCATCTCGCTATTGAATCTCCACCATAGGACCAAAGCACACCAAATTGTTACCATCACCATAGATAACGCTTCACCGATTTCCATACGGAACCAACTACTCGCTCCTGAATCCACGCCATCGAACCAGAACACACCAAAATTCATTTCTATCACCATAAGCAACAATTCAGTAATTGCTCATTGCAATTAGCTACTCGCTCTTGAATCCATACCACCGGACCATAACACACCAAAACTAGACCGAAGTCCGTACACCATAATGCATGATTCACTATAACATGCAATTTCACTAAAAACGATCACCATGATAGACAAAAACATCATTCTCAATACAAAACAAGTGGATTAAATAAATTAACATAATAAGCAATATCAAATACCTCCAAACAGTTGCCAATTCACAACAGTGCGTCAAAAATTAGAACGACAAAGCAATTCCACACAATTGAGTGAATGTCACTCATTCTGGCAGTGTGACAGGTTACCCGTCACCAAGATGATGCTCGTCACCCTACATGTCACCTCACATGTCTCCCCTTTGACGACTGTCCCAACCAACCCTGCATGAGGACCATGACGGTCTACCCGTCAGACAGCTAACAGCCGTCAGCACCTCCAAAACGATGACGACCAAGGTATCATTATGGTGACGCTTGTCACCTTCAACAAGAAGCAAAATTTGTGTCTTCTGCATTAGAGTTCAAATCAGAACTCCAATTTTTATTCCCTAGACCCAAATCGGACAACAACATCAAGGGAAATAACATTTAGCACCCAAACACCAATAATCCATAAATTAGGATGTAATTTCACTCATTTACTCATGGATTTGATATAGTTTGATCATCAATTTCACAACAACATATGAGCACACTTTTATAGCAATTTCATCAATAAGAACACATAATTTTCATGGTATAACTTTGCACAAATTTCACATATTACATCACATATATTATACAATTACAGAACTCAAGACATATTCATCCAACATTTACCAACAAGGGAAAAAGCAAGGAAAATCTAATGGGATTATGGATTTTTCTCTTCCCAAACATGTAATACACACCCAATTATGATAAATCCCCCTTACCTTAGATTGCTTGAAAAATTTAAAATTTGCTCCAAGTTCTTCTCTCACCTTCAAGCTCTAACCTTGCCTCCTTCTCCCATTTCTGTTTTTCACGTAATAATTCTCGAACCCTTACTAACCTCTTCTTATTAGAGCCCTAATCTCCCTAATTAATGACTTCCCACCTTACCCTCACTTACCCCTCTATTCACCAAAATGCAACCCTTGACTCTCTACTATTTCTACTCTTCTATTTCATTTAATATTAATAATTCTCATTATTCTAATATTATTAATTCTATTATTTATTTAAATAGGTAGACTATGCACCACAAATCCAATGCATCAAATATTAATATTGACCAACCAAACACTATCCAATTCACTTGAAGTCGATTATAAATAATTAAATACACACAATTTCAATTAAATAATTAGATTAGAGAAACGAGGGTGTTACACATGCCAAAAGTGAAATATTATGGCTAAGTAATTTGTTAGAGACTCTATAAGTTCCATGCATCAAACCCACACTTCTGCATTGTGCCAATCAAACAACTCTTCATTTAGCTGCAAACCCGATCTTCCATGAAAGAACAAAGCACATTGAAATTGACTGTCATTTTATCATGGAATACATATAATCAGGGCCATAAACACAATTTACTTGCCCACGAAACAACAAAATACTGACATTTTTACTAAGTCGTTAGGCGTGAAAATTTTTCAAAATCTCATGTTCAAATGGGTGTTCTTAATCCCCACCCTCCAACTTGAAAGAGAGTATTAGAGATAGATTTAATAGTTAATTAGTAGTTACATTTTTGTTAGAGTTGTTACAGGATATATATATATATATATATATATATATATATATATATATATATATATATATATATATATATATATATATATATATATATATATATATATATATATATATATATATATATATATATATATATATATATATATATATATATATATATATATATATATATATCAAAGTTTGTTCTTTAAAATATATATATATATATATATATATATATATATATATATATATATATATATATATATATATATATATATATATATATATATATATATATCAAAGTTTGTTCTTTAAAATATATATATATTTATAGCAAGAACAACAAAATAAAACATACATTTAACAACACAATTAAAAATAAAAATATCTCCATATATGTCCAATCCAAATCCATTATATAATCTTGATGTTTTTTTGTCCAATGATTGGTTAATCATTTTGATCTCCACATGTTAACTGTCTCTCTGTCCGCCTATAATCAACTATCCACTCAACTCAACTATGTCCTCTTTCTTCACACTTCCCTCTACTTTCTCCAAATTCCAATTTTACCCTTTCTCTTCTTCTTCATGCTCTCGTCTCGTATGTCGTGGCGCCTCCAACGTTCAACACGTGGCAAAATATGATCTTGACTTCGTTTTGCATGATGCTCTTGATGCTTCTGGAATCGATACTACACATGCTAGAGTAAAAACTCGTGTCTTGATTCTTCAAACTTTTACCTTTTTTTTGTGTATGTTTGATTAGTTTTATTTTGCCTTTTAGAAACATGTATCGATTGTGGTTGAAGGTTGGAAACATGTAGATTTTGTCATCTGTTATGGTTGAAGCTTGGTGTGTTGGAAAATGGATTATCTTTATGCAAACTTTTATTCGCCTAGCGAACATGACAGCAAACCAGCACTTGTTTTGACTATAACTTTTGAACCGTAACTCCGTTTTATGCGCGGTCGGAAGCATTAGAAAAATGAGAGAAAAATAATTAAACTCAATGATATTTACATGATACGCAATATATACATTATATCGTAAACTATACAACATATGCACAAAAGTTAAGGTTTATTGGTTGAATTAAACCAATAAGTGCCAATTATTTAAACTCAGTATCACTACAATTTAGCAGTTATCAACTCTCCCCAAGTTAAACTTTTTTGTCCTCAAACAAGAATCAATCAACTCAAGTAAACAAAAGTAACAATCAAACAAAAGTAACAATCAAACAATCACGACTCAACAAGTTTCAAAAAACAAAAACAAATGTATGGTTCAACATAAAAACGTACATGCAAAGCAAAACATACCACTAAACTACAACGATAACATGAAAACAAAACAACTCCTAAATACAAAACACATGTAAAAAATTCTAAGATGATATAATGTTCAAAAATGAATCACACCTAACACACACTTCATCGGTAGATGAATAAAAAAACATTAGGGGCTTAACTCTCACCCAATAATCATGCTAACAACAAGTTAAATTATGTATTCATCAAGAAAAAAACTCACATTGAACAGTATAAAAGAAAAAATCACAAGGGCTTTAAGGGTTGTAATGTGCCTTGGGTAACAAACAATTGTTTTTCTCAAGATAAAAGAAACAAAAATTTGCCTAATAAAATGAGAGTGATCATTTCTCACGACCTCAAGCACTCACAAATTCCAATCACATTTTTCTCTTTTCCAAATTGTTACACCATTCTACACAATTTATTAGCATAACATTATTCTTTTCTTTTTCTTTTCTTTTTCTTTCTTTTTTTCAATTCTTTTTCTTTTTTTTTCTTTTTCTTTTTCATTTTTTTTTTCTTTCTTTTTCAAACTTTTTCTTTTTCTCAACCTCTTAGAAATCAACATCTTCTCCCCAACTTGAATACAACCATACATAGTGACATGAATGCTCCCAAACTTATTAGGTAAGGGTAAAAAAACTCAAATAATAAGTCATGGTTATAGTTCAAGAAAAAGTATTAGAATCCATACAAAAGTGAACTTAACACCAACATGGATTCTAACAAAGGCTCAAAGGGGGTAAGCAAATTCTCACTCACTCACAAGGTAGATTGACTATTTGGTCAAGTGGGTATGCTCAAAATCAAACAAAATTCCTTGATCATTTTAGAGCTATCATACAAGTCAACACAAATACAAGATTAAACATAATAAAACCGAGTTAAACAAGAATGTTGTTCTCCTGCATATAGTAAACAATGGAAAGCTCCTCACAAAAAAGTTTTGTTCTAAAGTGATTCAAAACTGAACAAGTATAGAAAAAGAATGAATGGCATGAAAATTGTCCAAATGAAAAGTCTCTTAATCATGCTATGTTCTAGAAAGCAATAAACGAGTACCTTGTAAAGTACCAACTTCAAACAATATCAAAATTATACATTCGCAAGTTGAAACAATCAAACTTGGAAAATCACAAAATGCATCCTCAAGCTAATCAAAAACAAACTTGAGAGCAAACACAAACATTATTCTAAAAATCTAACAAAATTGAATTAAAACTAACTAAACTCAACGACCAAAATTGGTGAAAATGGATGGAAAATGAGAGGTTTGTCTTTGCAAAACAAGGTGTGCTAAGCGCGGGCAGGAAAACTTCGATTTTCATATTCTTTTTTTCATACAATCCATCCATTTTCACTCTATATTAACTATACTACTAAATATAAAACTATACAAACTCAAAAATTATTGGGTTGCCTCCCAACAAGCGCTTGTTTCACGTCGTAAGCTCGACGCCTTTATTTATGCATATGTTCCTCTATGTTGCTTGGTTCACCGGTTACTACCAAATAAACTCGCACAACACTTAAGCAAACGTAAACCAAAAACAAAAATATGCACAAACATATAAACATGATAAAAAAAACACACACACACACACACAGATATATATATATATATATATATATATATATATATATATATATATATATATATATATATATATATATATATATATATATATATATATATATATATATATATATATATATATATATATATATATATATATATATATATATATATATATATATATATATATATATATATATATATATATATAACCACTTATGGAAAACAACTATAAACATGTATATACAAAGCTTAAAAACATAAAAAATTATCACAATGCGATTCAATATCAATACCAATCCCCAACAACGACGCCATTTTGTTGGAGCAGTAAAGCGGCAAGCAAAAATATTATTTTCGGAAGAATTTTCTCCGGGATTTATGTCATCTCCATAGGAATCAGTGTGAAGGAAAGAATGTCGTTCGACAATCTCTACGTCTCTAAGCTTGGGTTTAAATAGGTTGGGATAAAAATGCAAAAAGGAAAAAAAAACATAAAACAAGAAAATAAATGCATTCTTAAGAAATGAGAAAACTCGTCAGGAGTTGTATTTCGTTCTACTCATCATGCACTAAAAAATATATGGATCAAATGCACGCAACCTAAATCGCTCGTCAATATCATCACGTATCGCTCACAACAGAGGTTATGTTTAACGCAAAGCCAAAAGATCAACCATATCGTCTCATCGGTGATGTCTCACGCAACTCGACAACACAGAGCATTAAGAATCGATACCCACATGAATATTACTCCTAAATTTATGTCTAGAGTTTAGAATCTAACAGATGTTCATCTTAGATCGAGTTCGAACCGTATATGTCTTTAGCAATTCAAACCTATTAAGTAAAAAATCAAGATAATCATCGATAAAGAGTTGTAAAAGAGATTTTATACAAAGATCCATAAATATACATACAATCAAGATAAACTTACATACAAAACTCCAACGAATGAAAAATACATAGAGAGGAAGGAAGAAGAACACAAATCTCACAGTCTGTCAACTCCAATTGAAGTGGATTCGATTCCGAATCGTGAAGATGCACCCTCCAATGTTGTTTCTAAGCTAAATCTACTCAAGAATATTTTTGATGAAGTTAGGGTAAAAAGTTCTCCAACAATATAACCTAAAAAATGCTGAAAAATGACATAAATAGGTAAAAATGGGTTTCAGTGTTTGCCTAGCGAAGTCCCGTTTGCACAGCGAACTTATGCATCTTTCGCTACTGTCAAAACAATATTTTTAAAGAAATCAAGGCTCTAGAAGATAATGAGACATGGGAACTAACTCATTTAGCGCAAGGAAGAAAATTTATCGGATGTAGATGGGTGTACAAAATCAAACATAAAGCTACAGGTGAGATTGAAAAGTACAAGTCCATATTAGTTGCTAAAGGTTACATTCAAATAGAAGGTGTGGACTTCAATGAAACTTTTGCATCAGTGGCCAAAATGACCATACCTGGATGCTTTTTAATAGTTATAGTGATGAAAGAATGGAAATTACATCAAATGGATGTTAGCAATGCCTTCTTACATGGAGAATTGACTGGAGAAGTATATATGAGTCCTCCACAAGGATATAAAGTTATAAAAAAAAATATTTGGTATGCAAATTAAAAAAAGTCATTTTATGGCTTGAAACAAGTGCATAGAAATTGGTATAGTAATATATCTCAATCATTGATAGAATATGGTTTTCAGGACAACCAGTCTGATCATAGTCTATTTACTTATTCACATGGATTAATTTTTATTATTGTTTTGATCTATCTTGATGACTATCATTACTAAAATACACCTTATACATAATAGGTATTCATTTATCAAAGAAAATACACCTTATACATTCTACAAGAATGTGGAATGCTTGATTGTAAGTCTTCTTTGTTTTCAATGGAACAAAATCATAAACTTGCTTTAGCTAAGAGATATCCACTCTTAGAACCGTCAAGGTATAGGAGATTAGTTGGATGCCTGATTTACTTAACTATCACTAGGCCTGAATTTACCTACTCGGTTCATATTACAAGTCAATTCATGCAAACTCCACTCTAAGACCATTGGGATGATATTATGTGAGTCTTATGATATCTTAAATCTTCTATTGAACAAGGTATCATTCTTCATCAACATAATAATCTACAACTAGTTAACTATTGTGACTCGGATTGGGCATCATGTCCCATTACTAGAAATACCATATTAGATTATCTAATGAAACTTGGCAATGCTTCAATATCCTCGAAAAACAAATAAACAAGCCATGGTCTCTTGATCATCAAGTGAGGTTGAATATCATGCAATGACACATGTTATAACACCCTAAACCCCAAATCAAAGAATAATGCGAAAATAAAACAATTCCACACATAGGGTGTAACTCAAAACACAACATAAATCTACTTCGTAACACGGGTTATATGAAACATGCATCAATTAAACATTTGTCAACTCATGCTCGCCTTTACATAGGCTCATCGCAGCAGAATAATCAATTAAAATAATTCAACAACCAAATAAGTCTCATAACATTAACATGGTTATGGCATTTACCTTCAACAACATCGTAAATAATAACAATTAGTAAAAACAAAAATTCTCCCTATTAATGTTATAGACCAGAGCAACGGAATCTAAAATATTGTGTAAAACAGAAAAGAAAGAAGAACAACTTCAACGTCATCCTTCAGCTTCTAAGCAGCTACTCATTTACCTACTCGTATGTACCCTAAGAATGAGCACAAAACCACACATACAACAAAGGGATGAGAGTACGCTCATAATAAATAATGGTGCAAAAGTGTGCAAGGGTATCCTAAGCAAACATTAATAGTTTTTCAACCCAATTCATTCGTATACATTCACCAAGGTATTAACAATCACCAAAATCAATATAATCATTCAATACATATGGAGATAATGAATGTAAATGTATTCATCACTACGACTCAACAATGCATGTGGTACCATTATGGACAACACAGGTCCATCTCGCTATTGAATCTCCACCATAGGACCAAAGCACACCAAATTGTTACCACCACCATAGATAACGCTTCACCAATTCCCATACGGAACCAGCTACTCGCTCCTGAATCCACACCATCGAACCAGAACACACCAAAATTCATTTCTATCACCATAAGCAACAATTCAGTAATTGCTCATTGCAATTAGCTACTCGCTCTTGAATCCATACCACCGGACCATAACACACCAAAACTAGACCGAAGTCCGTACACCATAATGCATGATTCACTATAACATGCAATTTCACTAAAAACGATCACCATGATAGACAAAAACATCATTCTCAATACAAAACAAGTGGATTAAATAAATCAACATAATAAGCAATATCAAATACCTCCAAACAGTTGCCAATTCACAACAGTGCATCAAAAATTAGAACGACAAAGCAATTCCACACAATTGAGTGAATGTCACTCATTCTGGCAGTGTGACATGTTACCCGTCACCAAGATGATGCTCGTCACCCTACATGTCACCTCACATGTCTCCCCTTTGACGACTGTCCCAACCAACCCTGCATGAGGACCATGACGGTCTACCCGTCAGACAGCTGACAGCCGTCAGCACCTCCAAAACGATGACGGCCAAGGTATCATTATGGTGACGCTTGTCACCTTCAATAAGAAGCAAAATTTGTGTCTTCAGCATTAGAGTTCAAATCAGAACTCCGATTTTTATTCCCTAGACCCAAATCGGACAACAACATCAAGGGAAATAACATTTAGCACCCAAACACCAATAATCCATAAATTAGGATGTAATTTCACTCATTTACTCATGCATTTGATATAGTTTGATCATCAATTTCACAACAACATATGAGCACACTTTTATAGCAATTTCATCAATAAGAACACATAATTTTCATGGTATAACTTTGCACAAATTTCACATATTACATCACATATATTATACAATTACAGAACTCAAGACATATTCATCCAACATTTAGCAACAAGGGAAAAAGCAAGGAAAATCTAATGGGATTATGGATTTTTCTCTTCCCAAACATGTAATACACACCCAATTATGAGTAATCCCCCTTACCTTAGATTGCTTGAAAAATTTAAAATTTGCTCCAAGTTCTTCTCTCACCTTCAAGCTCTAACCTTGCCTCCTTCTCCCATTTCTGTTTTTCACGTAATAATTCTCGAACCCTTACTAACCTCTTCTTATTAGAGCCCTAATCTCCCTAATTAATGACTTCCCACCTTACCCTCACTTACCCCTCTATTCACCAAAATGCAACCCTTGACTCTCTACTATTTCTACTCTTCTATTTCATTTAATATTAATAATTCTCATTATTTTAATATTATTAATTCTATTATTTATTTAAATAGGTAGACTATGAACCACAAATCCAATGCATCAAATATTAATATTGACCAACCAAACACTATCCAATTCACTTGAAGTCGATTATAAATAATTAAATACACACAATTTCAATTAAATAATTAGATTAGAGAAACGAGGGTGTTACACATGCCAGAAGTGAAATATTATGGCTAAGTAATTTGTTAGAGACTCTACAAGTTCCATGCATCAAACCCACACTTCTGCATTGTGCCAATCAAACAACTCTTCATTTAGCTGCAAACCCGATCTTCCATGAAAGAACAAATCACATTGAAATTGACTGTCATTTTATCATGGAATACATATAATCAGGGGCCATAAACACAATTTACTTGCCCACGAAATAACAAAATACTGACATTTTTACTAAGTCGTTAGGCGTGAAAGTTTTTTAAAATCTCATGTTTAAATGGGTGTTCATAATCCCCACCCTCCAACTTGAGAGAGAGAGAGTATTAGAGATAGATTTAATAGTTAATTAGTAGTTACATTTTTGTTAGAGTTGTTAGAGAATATATATATATATATATATATATATATATATATATATATATATATATATATATATATATATATATATATATATATATATATATATATATATATATATATATATATATATATATATATATATATATATATATATATATATATATATATATATATATATATATATATATATCAAAGTTTGTTACTAATTGCTATGATTGAAAAATAAATCATCAATCTCTCTCTCTCTCTCTCTCATATTTTAAATTTAACAATTTAGATAAAAATATAATTTTAAATAAAATATTATAGTCGAAGTTCATCTATATAATCAATCCTACTAAAAAAAATTCTTGTTGCTATTGTCATAATTATTTTTAAAAATATTTTTTAAGATGATTGAAAACAAAATTTGATTATTTATAGCAAGAACAACAAAATAAAACATACATTTAACAAAACAATTAAAAATAAAAATATCTCCATATATGTCCAATCCAAATCCATTATATAATCTTGATGTTTTTTTGTCCAATGATTGGTTAATCATTTTGATCTCCACATGTTAACTGTCTCTCTGTCTGCCTATAATCAACTATCCACTCAACTCAACTATGTCCTCTTTCTTCACACTTCCCTCTACTTTCTCCAAATTCCAATTTTACCCTTTCTCTTCTTCTTCATGCTCTCGTCTCGTATGTCGTGGCGCCTCCAACGTTCAACACGTGGCAAAATATGATCTTGACTTCGTTTTGCATGATGCTCTTGATGCTTCTGGAATCGATACTACACATGCTAGAGTAAAAACTCGTGTCTTGATTCTTCAAACTTTTACCTTCTTTTTTTTGTGTATGTTTGATTAGTTTTATTTTGGCTTTTAGAAACATGTATCGATTGTGGTTGAAGGTTGGAAACATGTAGATTTTGTCTCTGTTATGGTTGAAGCTTGGTGTGTTGGAAAATGGATTATCTTTATGCATTTGAAATTTACAAGTTTTGTTTTGTTTTTGAATCGTGTTGTTGATTGATGAATGAGTAGGAAGCTAGGCAAGGATTCTGCTCACAAATCAAGAGACTTACTGATATTGAGAAGGAAACAAGCATTTGCATTAACAGGCATGTTGATTTGGGGAGAACTGCACTCTATATAGCTGCAGAAGATGATTCTCTGGTATCACATTCATCGGTTCCACTTCCTGTTGATGCTTTCGTTGGAAGATTAGATGATCTTTCAATGGATTACTGTCCTCACTATAATCCTCGATGTGATTCGTCGCCCGAGAAGTTTTTAGAGAGCATAGAGAGATTTTTGTATGTTCATAAGGTATGTAATTTGATTTCAAATTGCTAGCTGTATGCGTGTTTCATTTCAATGTATGTGTATTAATTTCTAAAGGATTGTGAACTCTTAAACAATGTTTTAGGGTGGTAGCTATAAAGTATCCTGCATAAGAAATGGAAGCCAATAGAACCTTACGAAGCACAGATACAAACACTAACATTGACACTCATACTAATTTAAGAAGTGATCGAGTTTAGTTACGTGTGTTGCCAGACACTGAATACGTCTTCAATCTGAAGCGTCAATACTACATACATAGAACCTCTAATTGATTTTTGAGGCTCGTATTTTAGGTCAAAAATTACACTAATTGATCAAATGTGAAGTTTAGCTGTTGTCAAATCTGTGAAGGAGAGAACTCGGAAATGGAAATCCAAAGAAATGTTCTAAGAAATCTATTTTCTATAATAGATTTTCATCAATTTTCACTACAAGCAAACTTATTTACTATTTCCAACCTTTGGCCACTACAGGGTTTCAGAAGAACAAGTGCAAATCTATTGGAGCCACAAGCACTCTATCTTCACTCGGTAATATATCCGTCGTTATTGGATATTTTTTCACAAGTGTGTGCATATAGAAGATATTTGATAAATTTACTTAAATATTCTGAGCAGGTTTTGACTCATCGATCGGGATCACCTGCAATGCTCTCACTTATATACTCAGAGATTCTGAAAATGCTTCGTTTGTGGGGCCTTTTGTATTTTGATGCTGAAATTTACTTCCCTCATGATGCTTTGAGTGTTCCAAAAGGCTACCATAAGATGAAAAGCAAGGAATCCGACCAAGCACACATAATGACTTCAGGGAACTTATTGGTTGAGGTAATATTTCGGTATCTCTTTTGCTAAACATAAAAAAATCATGTGTTTAGTTTTTCTTTTTTGGCATAAAATTTGCATATGTGCCATAAATGGAGAGTGTTTTGTTAGCATTATTCTTAGCTTTGTTAATTTCTCTTCAGCCCTCATGTTAGTCTATATTTGCAGATCTTAAATAATCTTAAACACGCATTCTGGCCTTTTCATCACGATCATACGAAAACCTTATTCTTAAGGGCAGCACATGCTGCTAACTGTGTTGACAGATCCGATTTTGTTGGAGAAAGGTACTTTATATAAATGTTTTCTCGTTTTCTGTTTATCTATTGTGATTAGTTTGTATAAGAACTAGCCTTAATGTTTGTGAACTGCAGTGGCTCTCAAATTGCATCAGCTAAGGCTGCTCAACATAGACTGGACCGAGGTGTTTGGACCACCGTGCGCTTCGGCGACATGAGGCGTTCGTTGTCTGGTATGAGTTTGACGCAGTTTCTCTCTTTTTTTTCTATTTCATTATGATCCCAAATATTTTCCGTATTATTTCAGCATGTGAACGCCTTATACTCCTTACAAATAACGCAAATGAGCTAAGAGATTACAGCGTTCTCCTCTATCATTGCGGATTATACAAGGAGTCGCTGCAATACCTAACAAAGTATCAGGAACTGAAGGTATTATAATTTTTTGTTTTGTTTTCAAATTAACAGAATGTGATGTGTAGTGTACGATTTATTTTTTTGCAGAACTCATCTATACAAGTGATGAAATTATCAGACTCTAAAAGAAGTATGGAAGAAGACGCCGCTGTCGATAAACTGCTAACGCGGTTGAGTCTCATCCAGTTAGAACACGGGTGGAGTCAGCCGTCAGTCGCTAGAAATTTTCTCGGTAACAACTCTGATCCATGGTAATTCCTCTTTCGTCTTGATTCAAACAACATCAAAGAAGAATTTTGTTAGCTCGGAATAGTTCATGGAAGCAAGTTTTGCTGTGTTTTCTTGACACAGCAATAGCTTGCAAGTTACGCAATCATACAGTTAAAACGTGGTTGCAACTTCTGAACTGGACGAGATTTGTCCAAATCGAACGACAACACTTAGATACAAAGAAAGTAACACCGTGTATTTAGTTTTTATTTATCATGTATAATAATTCTGTACATTTTACATGTATTTCTCCAATAATAACAGTGTGAACATTGTAATTATTAACCATGTCTGAGTAACTACTTGCACTGAACTGTATTTCAACAGACTAGACCACAATTTTGAAAAGGGAGTGTGGTTTTGGGCCAAAATCTTGCGGCTAGAGACTTTCTTACCTTCTTTGGGACTTGAAACCAAGAAGCAAGAAGAACATGATTTTGGTACCTTTCATTTCACCAGCCTTAATCTATTGTAATATCGATTATGCTCGTTTTATTGATGCCAATCCTTAATAGCCACTTTGCTCATCTTATTGATGCCTTAATCTATTGCTAGGTTTGATGAACGAACGAGTAGTATACATATTAAGAGACGTTCTATAATATAGACAAAATACTCTTTTTGCTCCCTTAACTATATCTCGGAGTTCATTTTGATCTTTTAACTTTAAAAATGTTCATATTGGTCCCTTAACTTTTCAAAACATTCTAAATTAATTTTTTTTGTCTAATTAACGACAGAAAAACAAAAGGACTAATATGGAACATTTTAAAGAGTTAAGGGACCAATATGGACCTTTTTAAAGTTAAGAGACCAAAATGAATTCCGAGATATAGTTAAGGAACAAAAAATGATATTTTGCCTAATATATGACATGAATACATGTTTATAAATGGAGGCAACTCTCACCTTATAAGTTGGTTTTGTAGGAATGAGTTAGGCTCAATTCACACATTTTAAGATGACATTAGAGTCTCTTTTAAGATTCGTTGCGTCATCTGCTATCAGATTTCTGCTATAGAACCATCCATCTATTTCTATGTACGCTTATGATGTCCAGTGAGCGTTAGGGGTGTGTTAAAGAGTCCCGCATCAAACAATAAATAGTTTGAACAAATGTTTTTAAATGGGGGCAATTATTACCTAACTAATCGGTTTTGTAGGAATGAGTTAGGTACACAACTGTTAAGATGATATTAGAGTTTATTGATCACGGATCACCTACCATGTATATCCATGCACCAAGCACAAAAGAGTGTAGGGTGTGAGGGGTGTGTTAAAGAATTTCACATCTGCTAATATATATATGAAAGTGTTAAGCATTTGCACCAAGCACGAAAGAGTGTAGGGTGTGAGGGGTGTGTTAAAGAGTTTCAATTTGATAATATATGAAAGTGTTAAGCATGATTCGGATATTGGAAAGATCCCAAGTCACATATTGGTTAGGCCTAGCTTGAAAATAGTTGATATTGAGTGAGACCTCTCATCTTAAAAGTTGGTTTTATAGGGTTTAATAACCTTGGCCACAATTTCTTAACATGATATCAAGAGGCGGGTTTTAAGATTTGTTTGGCATCTGCTATCAAGTTTCTACTATCAGACCAACCACCATTTATTTCCACGTTCAAATGTTCAGTCTTAGGCGTGAGGGTGTGTTAAGAGTCTCATATCAGACAATATTTAATATAAACGTGTGTTTATAAGTGAGGACAATCACCGTCCTACAAACCGATTTTGTAGAAATGAGTTAAGCTCAACTGAAACATTCTAAGATAGTATCAACGCCTCCATTGTGTCATTTGCTATTAGATTTCCGTTGTTTGACAACCTATTTTGATGCTCTAAATCTTCAATCCTAAGCATGAGAGAGTGTCTTGAAGAGTCTCACGTCGAACAAAATATATAAACTCAACATATGTTTATAAGTCGATTTTGTAAGGACGAACAAAATATATAGACTAAACAAAATATGGACTCTCCATCTTCAGAGAATGTATTAGAGGATAAACAAGTATTCATAATCCCTTTTCTCCTTACAACTAACTGTTTTATCTTAGTTTATATAGTCGGATTATTTAAGTTTCTTTGGATTCTTGGATATAAGCACATCACATTCTTCTCACATCAATAAAAATAAAAATTACATTTTGACTTCTTAACTTATTCTTTTGTTTCATTTTAGCTACTTTTAAGTTGTGATAAGTGTATATATACATTTTTAAACCCTTATTCATATTACATGAACAAAAAGTAATCATAAAACCTCTAATTCATGCACATAATAAAAATATCATGAATAATTGAATTGACTTAAAATTCCATTGTTTTTTTCTTTTTTTGGCGCTTATGAATGAAGCGAGCATGAAAGCTTAAAGTGTATTGCATTGGAAGTTAGGGAATCAAGATATTAAACAATTTGCTAATTGACCATTCATTCTATTAGCAAACGCAAGTAAGAACCCGACTTTGAAAAAACATAACAATTTCGTTAATAGAAGATTCTTTGAATTAACGAAAAAACTTGTTAATCAAAGAATCTTTCGATTGGAGAATTTATGATGGTTCAGACTCTTTCTTAGCGCAAAAGGAATCTCATTTACTAATCAAGCATTTCTTTGATTAACGAATGAAGATGACAATTTCCTATTGTAAATAGAAGTTAGAGGCATTACAAGAGAGCAATTTGTTATTTTTAACACTTGGATAATATTGAGAGACAAAGAGTGATGAATTCTTATCACATATGGAGTATAGTTTTTGTGGATACATACACAAGTTTCAGGGATCGTTCTTGAATGTTGTTTCATCTCATATGTTTCATTTGAAAAGTTATCATAATAGTGAGTAGCAAAACTCTCTCTTGTTAGGATTAGATGCAATTAAATGTATTTTGATGTATAATAATGTTATATATGTTCTAGTCAATCTTTGAATGGGTGTTTATATTTATGTTCTCTGCTTGTTATAGTCTAATCAATTATAACTTGATTTATGAATTTTAAATGTTATTGAAAAATTCTTTTTTAGTCTAGATCTAGGATAATCATCAATTAACCACTAAATTCTTGAGGTATATTTAGATTTTGTTATGGGAGATTTTCACTAGGGAGCATTGAATATTGTGAGACTTTTATTTCTAGAGCAACACTTTTGTGAGAGACACATCACATACTCACCCAGAACCTTAAAAGGATAGATGTATGGGTTCTCTCACTTATAAATATTCAAGTCACCACATTCCTATCCAATGTGGGACTATTATTCACACTACTCAATACTTAACACTCCCCCTTAAGTGTGAGTCTATCCGCAATGCTTCTACAATACTCCCCATTAAGCGGAAGTTTCAACTGTGCAACTGCACCCTTGTACCGCCGTTGACACTCTTCAACGAGACACTCAACCCACGGTCTGCGGGGATACTTTCGATACAAGTAAGTAGGCGGAAGTTTCAACTGTGCAACTGCACCTTTGTACCGCCGTTGACACTTTTCAACGAGACACTCAACCCATGGTCTGCGGGGATACTTTCGATACAAGTAAGTAGGCGGAAGTTTCAACTGTGCAACTGCACCCTTGTACCGTCGTTGACACTCTTCAACGAGACACTCAACCCACGGTCTGCGGGGATACTTTAAATACAAGCGATACAAGTAAGTAGGCGGAAGTTTCAACTATGCAACTGCACCCTTGTACCGCCGTTGACACTCTTCAACGAGACACTCAACCCACGGTCTGCGGGGTCTGCGGGGATACTTTCGATACAAGTAAGTAGGCGGAAGTTTCAATTGTGCAACTGCACCCTTGTACCGCCGTTGACACTCTTCAACGAGACACTCAACCCACGGTCTGTGGGGATACTTTCGATACAAGTAAGTAGGTCCCTTTACTCGAACCAAAGGCTGAGATACCATTGTTAGGGGAAGATTTTCACTAGGGAGCGTGAACATTGTGGGACTTTTCCTTTCTAGAGCAACACCTTTGTGAGAGACACATCACATACTCACCCAAAACCTTAAGGTGATAGGTGTATGGATTCTCTCACTTATAAATGCTCAAGTCACCACATTCCTATCCAATGTGGGATTATTATCTACACTACTCACACTTGTTAATACTTAACATTCTTCCTCAAGTGTGAGTCTATCCACAATGCTTCTACAATCAATCTTGATCTCAAGATTATTTCAACCACAACCTATGGAGAATTTCACTCAATTAATCATGATCCCAAAATTGTTTCAACTCACTTAATGACAATGAAAGAAAAGTTTAGAAAGAAAGAAAGAAACTAAACGTTGGAGAAGAAGAAGATGAACAATTTTCTACAGAGAACTCTTTGCCCATAAACTGTGAAAATTCTATTATTTCAATTGCAACTGCAAACTGTGAATTACAAAATATGATGAGATGAAATGTTTACAAAATAAGAGTTTCTCCCTATTTATAGATTTAGGTTAGCTTGCACCCCAAGTCAAAACACAAACTATAAAAGCCCAAAAATATCTAATCTAATCTTTTTATATCAAGTATGATCTTTCTAAATCAAATCTAATCTTTTTAAAATAATGAATTACATATTTAACACACCACCTAATTCAATGTGTCTAAACCATTTACATTCATCATAGACCTTAACTTCTTGAACACTTCGATTGGAACTCCCTTCATCATGATGTTTGCAATCTGATTCTCAGTTCTGCAGTGTTCCAAGTTCATCTTCCCTTCTGCTACCTGCTCTTGAAGATAATGGAAACTCATTTCGATGTGCTTGCTTCAACCGTGTGCTATTGAATTCTTCGCCAAGTTGATAGCTGACATGTTGTCGATCTTCATGATAATTACTCCATGACTCTTCGTTGTGATCTCTTCGACCAGGTTCACCATCCAGGTTGCTTGACATGCACAAAGAGAAGCAGCTATATGTTTTGCTTCACATGATGACAATGTCATTACTGCCTCATTTCTCGAACTCCAAGAAACTT